TCATCAACCCGGATTCTCACTGGGCCTCGGCGCCTCGCATTGTGCCCAAAAAGAACGGCGAGCTACGCCTCACAGTGGATATGCGTGGCGTGAATGCCGTCACGCTTCCGTTGGTGTGGCCGATGCCCATCCTTGACGTCGTCATGTCCCGGCTGTCGGGAAAGACGGTGTTCTTCGTTGGTGATTGGTTCAGGGGTTTCTGGCAGCTTGGGTTGCACCCGGACTGTCAGGAGTGGTTCTCGGTGCTCGGTGTCAACTGCGTCGTCACGCCGACGCGCGTGCAGATGGGACAGACTGACGCCGTCGCCTACTGCCAACGCGTTGCGCAGGAAGTGTACGGCGAGAAGTACGGACACGGGCTCGAAGGCTGGGTCGATGACGTCCTCGGCAGCGCAACCGACGAGCGCAGCCTCATCAACCTCCTCCAGTTCCTCCTCGCCCGGTGCGCCCAGTACGGATTGAAATTGCACCCAGGGAAGTGTACCTTCTATGCCACAGAGATTGTGTGGTGCGGTCGCCGGGTCAGCGCCGCCGGAATCAGCCATGACCCCGAGCGTATCGCGGGTCTCACGGGCCTCTCGACGCCGACGACGGCGGACCAACTACAACAATTTATCTGTGCATTGAACTGGATGCGCCAGTCCATCCCGCAGTATAACCCTTTGGTGGCGCCCCTGCAGGCACTTCTCGAGGTCGTGTGCACGGCCGCGGGCACGCGAAAGAAGACGCGTTTGGCTTCAGTGGCGCTCGCGGACCACGGCTGGGCGCCGGCGCACGCCGAGTGCTTCGTCGAGTGCAAGCAGGCGCTCATGCAGCTCGTGACCCTCGCTCATCCCAATGAGGACTTCGACTTCTACAGTCTCAACGTGGCCAAGGATGTGGTCGAGCCAGGCTACTAGCCCATGAACAGGAGTTTGGCAAACATGAAATCCACCGCCGACTGACAGAACGTGAGCGCGACTGTTTTGTGCATGAGCACTCTTGTGGGCTTGTACACTGTAAAGGGGTCATCAAGGAGTAGTTCTTTTCGGAGTCTTCATGGAGTACCAGCTGTAATTAGCACTGGCATAGACTATAGCATAGGCTCCGTGCATGCGTTGATGGGCCGGCTATCGTTCGTTGGTCATGCGCAATTCGCCAGGGTCTTTCTTGGGGACGATCCGTGGGGCCGAGACCCATGTTGCGCAGTTGTTTCGCTACACCAGTCCAGCTGCTTCCAGCTCGCTCACATGTGTCTTCAGCCTCTCCAGTTGGGCTGGGGGGTATCATCACATTCCCCATTTGACTGGGACAGTGCCAGGCTTGATTCGCACTCGCCGCGGCTCCACCTTGATCAGCTCGTCGTCGCTGATCTCCAGGCTAAATGCATCGCAGAGCTTCACAGGAGAAGTCACATGTTCTCGAGGAGGTCCGTGGTCATGCCTTCATCTGTAGCGATGTGACAGGTGGGTTAACGGCTTGCCACCACCTTGCCCGCACCCAGTTCCTAAGTACCTATCGCTAGCCTAGTGAAGTTCCCCAATG